GGTTAGGACGTAGACAATGTCTACAAAAATAGTTACTAAACATGTGTGCTAATAAGTATATGAGGAATCGAGAATTACATACACAAAGATGCTGTACAATGAGATAGTGGCTGGCTGGAACAATCAGAAAATGCTTGTGGTACAGGCAGTGAGCACTAAAATTTGGCCCTGGGGGCTGGAGCAATAGCACAGCAGGTAGGGCATTTGCCTTGCACATGGCCGACCCAGATTTGATTCCCAGCATCCCATATGGTCCCCTGAGTACTGCCAGGGGTAATTCCTGACTGCAGAGCCAGGAGTAACCCCTGTGCATCACTGGGTGTGACCCAAAGAGCAAAAAATAAATAAAATTTGGCCCTGAATCCTAGGTCTAATGTTTGAGAGCTGAAACTCATGGAGGAAACTGTGAAGGAAAGCACCCAAGTGGGGCATAGAGAATCAATTTGACTTCTTGGAACTTAAAATCTAGGAAGAGACTGGTGAGAGTAAGTAAAACTAGGAGCCAGATAGTCTGAATATTTGGTTAGATGAGAGGCCTTCAACTCTTCGGCTGCCATGTCATTTCTCTTCCAGTATTTATTTGCACCTTTACATCTGACACTTTCACCTGGCAAAACAAAAGTAGTGGGATCAGAAACACCTATTGCATTTACTTCTCAGAAGTGGCTTTGCTGTAAGCAGCTACATAGAACACCGGTTCCTTTAACACTAACAAAATTTAAGAGCAGTGGTCTTCAATCACCCATCCATGGACCACTGCTGGTCTGCAGGCGTAGACAGGTTGAAAACCACTGGTCTATAACAACCAGTCCATGTACAAGTACAGAGGACTGGTTCAGATTAACAGATGTAAGAAGGTTGAAGAAAAGAACCAGAAAGATAGTACAAAGGTCATGGCTTTGCAAGTGGCTGACCATCGTTCTGGTCTGGTTGTTTTTGTTTTGGGGCCATTCCAGAAGTACTCAGGGTTTAATTCTAACTTTGCACTTAGGAATCACTCCTGGCAGAAATCAGTGGCTCAGAGGGGGTAACTGGGGATTGAACCCGGGTTGGCTGTGTGCATGGCAAGCAGTACTATTATCGAGTCTGTCCTTGACGCTGACACCACATATGGTTCCCGAAATACTCCCAGAAGTGATCCATGAATACATAACTGGAAGCAAAAACAAAAACAAATACCAAAAGCCAAGAGGCCAGAGGTATAGTACAGCAGGTAGGGCAATTGCCATGCATGGGGCAGACCCAGGTTCAATCCTCAGCACTCCATGAGTGATTCCTGAGTGCAGAGCCAGGAGTAACCCCTGAATATTGCCAGGTATGGCACCAAATCTTAAAACAAACAAAATCAAGGCTGAAGAAAGCTGAGAGAGGATCAGAAACTACCTCTTATGCTGGGGATGCTTCCAAACTGTAAACATTCAGGGCTGGAGAGATAGCACAGTGGGTAGGGTGTCCACCTTGTACACACCAACCCCAGTCTGATCCCAGCAACCTATACGGTTCCTTGAGCACTGCCAGGAGTAATTTTTGAGTACAGAGCCAGGAGTGGGCCCTGAGCACTGCCGGTTAGGGCCCTAAGTCAAAACCAATCAAACAAAAAACCACTGTAAACCTTCAACAAAGCCTAATGAGGGCTGTGACCTAAGACAGATTTAAATCTTCTGGAATTCACTTTAATTCCTTGGCTCCCTTGCTCATATATCAAGGTTCTACATCAACTTCTATTACTGGTAACAGCTCATTCAAGACCCTAGGCCTGGAACCCAGGGTAATGCATAGTTCAGCCTCACCTAAAGTTTTCAACCTTATCTATTACTGTCCCTCAGCTACTTTCTATTAGTACCAACCTCCTTCCCTAATCAGGAGGATTAAATTACAATAGGGCTAGTGTTACAGTCTTAGATGAACTGAGTCAAATTAAACCTGGACCCTAGGCCATTTTTCCAGTCACAAAAAATACAAAATCTATTAAAAAAAAAACACAGTAAGAACTTGGAAATGCCTATTTAAGCTGTCCTCTCAAGGGTGTTCTGAATGCAAGCAATCAAAATTACTGTGTTCATTTATAAGTATAAATATTAAGGAATAATTACAAATGGCATTTGTTAATAGTAATGCTCTATCCTGGCGTGGTGGTGGAGTATGATTTCAGTATCAGTGAGTGCATACTTAAGATTATGACATTTCATTGAGCATAATTTTTATAACAAAATAAACAATGAGTGCGAACTCAATGGGCTGAGGGCATGATTTGCACATAGCAGATCCAGGTTGAACCTTAGAGTCCCCTATGATCACTGGGAGTGACCCCAGAGCACAGAGCAGAGTAGTCCTTGAGCACTACCAAGTGTGACCCTCAGACTAAAAATGAAAATGAAATAAAAATAAACATCACAGTCCTCCCGTTGTTCATCGATTTGCTCGAGCGGGCCCAGTAACGTCTCCATCATGAGACTTGTTACTGTGTTTGGCATAGCAAATACGTCACGGGTAGCTTGCCAGGCTCTGCTGTGCGGGCGAGATACTCTCGGTGGCTTGCCGGGCTCTCTGAGAGGGGCGGAGGAATCGAACTCAGGCCGGCCATGTTGGCCACTTGTAAGGCAAACGCCCTACCGCTGTGCTATTGCTCCAGCCCAAATAAAAATAAGATTAAAAAAAAATCAACTTCCCAACCAAAATGAACAGTCAAGCCCTGTATGCAGAAGGCTCAGGTCTGATCCCTTATGGTCCCCACAGCATCTCTGGGAGAAATCCCCGAGCACAGCACCTGCAGAAACCCCCCAGCTTCTACCATCACACACACACACACACACACAACCCCAAAGAAAATAAGCAATAGCAAATGATAAGCATACCAAAGAAATTAGGAGAAAATGTACTGATATCTAAACCTAAAAGGATATGTGATAAACAAGTTGAATTAAAATGTTAAAGATAGGGGCTGGAGAGATAGCACAGCAGGTAGGGCATTTGCTTTGCACGCGGCCGACCTGGGTTCGATTCCCAGCATCCCATATGGTCCCCTGAGCACCGCCAGGAGTAACTCCTGAGTGTAGAGCCAGGAGTAACCCCTGTGCATCACCAGGTGTGACCCAAAAAGCAAAAAAAAAAAAAAAAAAAAAAGTTAAAGATAAAAAAATGTTAATGGAAGAATCTAAGCATTGGATATGTGTTCCCTATGAAATTTTCAAAACTGGGGCTGGCGCAATAGCACAGCAGGTAGGGCGTTTGCCTTGCACGCGGCCGACCGGGGTTCAATTCCCAGCATCCCATATATCCCATATGGTCCCCTGAGCACAGCCAGGGGTAATTCCTGAGCGCAGAGCCAGGAGTAACCCCTGTGCATTGCCGGCTGTGACCTAAAAAGCAAAAAAAAAAAAAAAGAAATTTTTAAAACTTACTTTATGCCTGAGAATTTCCAATAAAAAAACACTGGGGAGGGGCTGGAGAAACAGTACAGTGAGTACGGCGATTGCCTCGCACATAGGCCACCTGGGCTCAATCCCACACATCCCAGACAGTCCCCAGGCCTGCTAGGAATGACCCCTGAGCACAAAGATCCCATGCACACATAAGTCCTGAGCACCATTGGGTGTGGCCCCTAAGCAAAACAAAACCCGGGGAGGAAAGTAACATTAATGGCTAATTGTAAATACTGATAACACTAACCACTCCGTTACTCTAGGGCCAGGGAGATAGGACAGCGGACAGGGTGCGTGGGGCACGCAGCCTACTCCGTTTGGTCCCATAGGGTCCCCACAAGCACTACCAGGGGTAGTAGGGAGTACAGAGCCAGGAGTAACCCCTAAGCACTGCCGGGTGTGGCCCCCACGTGAAACTGCTCTTGGTGGGATTGCAGCACGTAGTGGGAGCTCCATGTCACCCTGCACCACCTATTCTAGTGCCCCTTTCTCGTAGTCCATATTACATATCAGTTTGCTTGGCTGTCCCTCCCGCCACACTGTGAGTCCTTGGTTGGGTACAGCTCTCATTGGCGTCACGTTTCTGTTGTTTAATTCGATTTTGCAGGGCGCGTTCAATAATGGTGGAATGATTAAAAATGCAAGGGCGTGAGGCTGCTACGGGGCCATAAAGTATTTTATTTCTAGCAGGCTCTCAGGGGTTCCATTTTCATGAGAAGCCCATTTCTCCCCCAGCACACGAAATTTCCAAAAAATAAAAAAAAAAAGAACCAAACTCACTTGTCACCCTCATCTCATTCTGTGTCCCTTAACCACCGAGATCTAAGAAAGAGCTTCCTACATTCGGTTAACTTTTTAGGGTTTCTTTCCCGCACCCCACCCACCCCCAACCTCAAAGTCTCAGAATTTCAATTAATTTGATTCAGGTCTTAGATAAGAGGGGAGAAAGAGGCGTCCCTGACCAAAAAAAAAAAAAGGCAGAAAACTGGAGATGTGGGGAAAAAGATAATTAAAAGACAAACAAACAAAAACCATGAAGTGAATGAATCAAGAGCTCCACCAGGAAATGGGGGTGGGGTGGGGGCGGGGAGCCTGAGCCGCCTCAGAACCGAGCCCGGCGTCCGTGGCGTCCAGTCACCGCCGGCCACTCCCGAGCGGCCACGCGACGGGCGCGGACACTCGCGCCCGCATCCCCCGTCGCGTCCCGCGGCGGGGAGGCGCGCGCCCGAGCGGGGGCGAGAACCCGCCCCGTGAACTCCGGGACCCGGGTCCAAGTTCCAGCGGCCCCCGACCGGCCGGAGGTGCAGGTCTCGCCGCCCGTCGAGCTCGCTCGGGCCTCGGGTTCCTCAGCCGTGACAGGGCCGTGACTCTCCCGGGCGGGCCGGCGCGCCGAGGCGTTACGCAGAGAGCGAGCGAGGCTGCTGAGAGGGACGCGCGGGCGACGCTCGCTCGCTCGCTCGCTCGCCGCCTCCCTCCCTCCCCCCGGGCCCCCGCGCCCGCCCCACACCCGGCGCCGGGGCCGAGGCCGCCCCCTGCGACCGGCCCCGTGCTGGGGCCGCGCCGCGCCGTCCGCCGTACCTGCAGCCACTTGGTCCGCGGGGCCCTCCTGCTGACCCATGACGAAGTCTTGCACGAGGCCCCACAGGGTGCCCGTAGGCGCCACCGCCTCCAGAGCGGCGGCGGCGGCCATGACGCGCGCGAACTCGAGGCCGTGGGAGGGGAAGCGGGCGGGGCCACGGGCCGGGCCTCTCGGCGCACGCGCCCCCTGGGCCAATCGCCGGGCAGGGGCCCCGGGGGCGGGGCGCTTCCTGGATCACGTGCCCGCCGGCTCCCGGCCAGGAGGTTTCAGGGAGGGCCCGTCCCTTCCCCCGAGGGGCGGGGTCTGGAGCCGGGGCGGCGGCGCGGGGAGGGCGGGCAGCTGCCGGGCACGCAGCCGGGGGCCATTGAGGACGAATAATTCCCAGCCCAGCTCCCCGGGAGACGGGGCGGCGGGGCGGGCACCTGGTTGGGTGGGGCCTGCGAGGGGGCGGGACGCGCCCTGGGGAAGCCAATGAGAGGCTCGGGCCGGCCCGAGGGGGCGGTGCCGGCGGTCACATGCGCACCTGGGGCGGGCGGCGGCGGCGGCGGCGAGGGCACCCCGAGCCCCAGGCAGGGAGCGGGGCCGGGCTGGGGCGGGGTTAGGCAGGTGAGTGACAGGCTCCGGGGGGCCGGCCCCAGCTGGCAGCCCCGAGCTCGCCAGAGTAGCTGCGGCGGTAACCGCCCCCTCTCTCCGCCCCTCCGGCGCGGGGAGCTGGTCTCCGGCCGGGCACCGTCGCGGGCCCCCCTGGCCCGGCCACCTGGGACTGTGGCAGGGGAGCCGGCCACCTCGCTCTCTCCCCTCGCCCACAAAGTTTGTGGCGGAGCCGGCGCCGGGGCCGAGCGCGCCCCCCGGGGGGAGGTCGGGGAGCGCCCGATGCCGGGAGCCGGGAGCCGTTGACCCGGGACGCCGCGGTCCGGGGCCGGAGGAGCGGAGCAGTCGACCCTCCCCGCCGCCTCCGGTGCATGGGGCCCGGCTGAGGACCCAGCATGGGCAACTGCGTGGGGAGACAGCGACGGGAGAGGCCGGCCGCCCCGGGACACCCCCGCAAGCGAGCAGGTAAGTACGGGGCGGGGGGGGGGGGCACGCGAGCAGGGCCACCTCGGGCGCCCGGCCAGTCGTCTCCCTCCTGGCCCGATCCCCGGGTTTCCCGGGCGACTCCCCCCTCCCGCGCCCCCCCACGGCTCCCCGACACCCGCTTTTCTCCGAGGGCTGCCCCCCAGCCAGGCGGGGGGGTCATGCAGGGTTGGAGGTGGGGGCTCCTCCCCAGCCGGGGTGGGGGGGCGGTCCCGGGGAGCCGAGTCGGGGCAGCTGCGAGCGCTGACCCGGCTGCGAGACCAACTCGCTCCAACTGGGAAGCTGCGGGTGGGGGCGGGGGCAGGAAATGTTTGCAGACCGCAGTGGGGCCGGCCGGGGGGGAGCCGGGCCCGGGGCGGGGGCCACGCCGGCCTGGATGCCCCGGCCCCGTCGGGGCTCCCGAACTCGCCGCGAGCTGGGCGAGAACAGTCGCTCCTTGCAAAGACCCGTCTGTGTCATTATCGGGCTGCAGATCGTGTCTGCCGGAATCCGACTTGCCAAAAAAAAAAAAAAAGGCAGCGTAGGACTCTGGGAAGGAAATCTTTATTCCCCCCACCCCACCCCGCAGGGATTTTTGGAGCCTTCTGGCCGTTGGGGAGTCTAGGAAAGGTGGGTGCGGGGTGGGAATCTCCCTCGGATTTGTTGAGGTCCTTCCAGCCTTGGCAGTGGGCTCTGCTCGCCGGCGATCCGCGGGGGCCGGCCGGCGCCTTCTCACTTTTCTCGCTTCGCTCCTGGCGCTTCGCCCCGGGGAAGAGGTCTGGCGGTCCTTTCCCCCGGGTCTTGTACTCACTTCCTTCTCTGAGGGTGTTGCAAGGACTTTCTGAGAATGATAAAAAGTGCTAGACTCTCGAGCCGAAAGGAACCTTCTAAACTTGTCTCGAGTCCAGATGGACTCAACCTCCTCCTCCTCCTCCTCCTCCTCCTCTTCCTCCTCCTCTTCCTCCTCCTCTTCCTCCTCTTCCTCCTCCTCCTCCTCCCCCTCCCCCTCCTCCTCCTCCTCCTCCTCCTCCTCCTCCTCCTCCTCCTCCTCCTCCTCCTCTTCTTCAGTGAGAGCCCAGGTCCAGAGGGGTTGTGCAACTTGCCCAGAGTCACACAGCCAGCTAGTAGTAGTACCACTGGGGACTAGAAGCCAGTCTCCTCTTCCACCCCATTGCCACATATTTCTTTATGTAAGAGGAGCCACAGGCAGAGTTGTTAATGAAGTGGAAACTCTAGTAGTGGGAGTTTCCTGTCTCTTTTGACACGGAAGGTGTGTTGCTTGGGTTTTGGAAAGACTGGAAAGGAGGGTGAGGGCAAACCTGGGGCAAGCAGACAAGGATGTTCCTAGGGGCCCAGGATGGGCCCACATAGGATGGCCAGAGACTTCCTCTAGCCTGAAGGAAACCCCAGCCCTTCTTCCAGTGAAGAAAACAGACTCAACCCTAAGGCCTTTAAACTCATTCATTCATCCAACAAATATTTATAACTTATGTGCTCAGGCCACATCATTGATTTTGTAGCATTTTCTTTTTTTAAACTGTTGACAGCCCTCACCTACTTGAAATTCTCTGGGCTTCCCTTCTTGGCAATTAAACTGCTGTGGGGTTTTCTCTGTTGTCTCACCTGGGAGGTATTGGGGGGTGGGCAGCTTCGGGTTCAGTTTAACACCCCGTGTTTTCTCTCCTTACTCCCTCCGGGCAAATCCTATTTGCCCACAGCTCTGCCTTTTGGACTGGCCCCTGCACTGTATCCTCAGCTACTCTCAAACTGCAGACTCGCCTCTCTGAGTACGACGCTCAGATGTAGATATCCTCAGAGCCAGAACTTCTGAGATCAGCCCTACGTCTCTCTGAGCTCCCGTTGGGACTTTATTCTTGGTGGAACCCTCTCCCTTTCTCTGCCTTCGTGTCCTCTGCTTCCCAACCAGTTCAGTCACGGGGACCTGCCAGCCCCTGCCCTGTGGCATGCCCTTGTCACCTCAAGTCCAACTCACCTCCCAGCTGGTTGGTTCCCTGCTTCAGACCTTCACCCAACCTGCACATGATGGCCAGGTTAAATGAACCTGTCGTTCAGGTTCAAAAACCTCTCTGCAGCCCTTCACCGCTTCTCTAAAAACTTTATTTTTCCGGGCTGTTCATTTTTCCCAGTCCTGTTGTTGTTGTTGTTTGGGGGCTATACCTGGCAGTGCTCAGGGCTTGCTTCTGACGGTGGTCAGGGATTACTCTTAGCAGGGCTCAGGGGACCATATGGAGTGCTGGGAATCGAACCCAGATTAGCCGCATGCAAGACAAACACCCTGCCTGCTGTCCCATATATCTGTCTCAGTCCTTGTTTCGGGGCCACATCCAGCAGTGCTCAGGGCTTACTCCTGGCTCTGCACTCAGGAATCACTCTTGTAGGGCTCTGGTGAAACACACGGGGTGCCAGGGATCCAGCCTGGGTCAGCTTCAGCCAGTGCCCTACCCGCTGTACTCTCTCTCTGGCCCCTGTCCCAGTCCTTTCGAAAGTGTGATTTCTTTCTCTTCCCTGACATTAAAGCCGTCAGTGTTTCCGAAGGCCATTTCCCTCTTATCACCTCTGCCTTTCTTTCCTTCAAGGTCCACCTCAAATCCGGTATCTTTCCAGAGCACCCTGCTTTACCACCTACCCCACCCAGAAAGGATTGCTCTTCTGAACTCTCCAGACACATTATGTCACTTACCAATTACACGCTCCATATTATTAGTCATTTCTTTGATGTTTACAGTCAGTGGCTACATCGCAGGCCCTGAAGACCTGGGTTCTGTCTGGTCCTGGCGTATCTCACTTGCTCATAGAGTAGCACACACAGCACTCACATAGGACTTGAATGAGGAAACTTACCAGTTGTTGATTTGAAAAGTCAGTGTAAGTGATCCCACCCTCTGATTTTTTTAATCTACACATTTTTCTGAAATATACACCAGTTTAAAAATTATTTAGGCGCTGTGGTTTACAATACTGTTAATGACAGGGTTTCACGCATAAACCGTTCCAGCACCACACACTCCCCAAGAGTGTCCACTTTCCTCCGCCTTTGTGCCAGTGCCCTTCCCCCGTACTAATATCCTCATCCCTCCCCTGAAGTATGTTTCCTGCTGAACACCACTTTATATATATATATATATATATATATATATATTTTGCTTTTGGGGTCACACCTGGCAATTCACAGGGGTTACTCTTGGCTCATGAACTCAGGAATTACTCCTGGTGGTGCTCAGGGGACCACATGGAATGCTGGGAATCGAACCCGGCTGGGCCACATGCAAGGCAAACACCCTACCCGCTGTGCTCTCTCTCCAGCCCCTATATCTATATTTTTTGTTTTGTTTTGGGGCCACACCTGGTGATGCTCAAGGATTACCCCTGGCTTTGCACTCAGGAATTACTCCTGCTGGTGCTCAGGGGACTATATGGGATATCTGGGATCGAACCCAGGTCTGCCGCATGCAAGGCAGGTGCCTTACCTACTGTATTATTGCTCTGGCCATATCTTCATTTATTTGAACGTGCTAGTATATCTTTTTTTTTTTCCAGTCCGGTGGGTCCTACTATGTATAGCTTTATTTATAAAGTTCAAAGTCAAGGGGAATTCTGTAGTTCAGTACAAAGGAAGGAATCATCCATAACCCCACAGCCTGCCCCTGGCCTTCCTGTAGCATCTGCATCGTGCCCTTTGACAAGGACATATAGCATTAGGCGGGGACGCTTGTGCCGACAGCTCCCTGAGCTCTCCTGGCGACACTTACCTTTCCTTTGTCACTGCTGTAGTGGAGGAAACCTCTGGAGCCAGAACTTGAGTTTGTGTTTGGGGCGTGCAGCCAGGTGGTCCTGAGTAAGTCACCAAGCCCCTCAGGGTCACACTTGGAATGTCTTGGAAAGGCCAGAGCTAATGCCACTGCACTAGCTTTGTTACTGTCCTTACAAAAGAAACTCTTCAAAACTGGAACATTATTGAGTTGAAATCAGTAACCCATGTAGTGTCACCCTTTAGCCTTAGCTCTGTCTTCATTGCCTATCACCTGGCTGGTGGAGCAGAGATGCCACGCATGCCAGTCCAGGAGTCTCAGGTTAGCTGGAATGGGGTGGTCCCCTCATCGCCTCAAGTTTTCTTAGGACTGCTCTCTCTTTTTTCACTGCTTCTCTTACTTCATCCCCAGGGTACGGTTTCCTCTTGTGGGCAGGGGTCCTGTCATCCTGCACATACACCCTGGTTAGATCCATATCTCTGCCTGGAAACGGGTGGGGCAGGCCTTCCCCCACCACCCCTGGGAGAAGGAGGAGGTGGTAGAACAGGCGAGTTTCTTGCCTGGTTCCACCCTTGAAGAATGTGGCAGGGCTGAAACCCAGAGATCTGATTTTGTGATGTGCCAGGGGTATCCACTTACATTCTGGAGTCTCAGGCTCGGGGTGGATAGATCAGGGCCCTGGTTGGGACTGTTAGGGCTTGGTGATGCACTTGCAGGAGAGTTCGCTTCTCTTGGTGTGGTCCACTGTGGCTATTCTGGAGGGAGCAATTGGGTAACTTCCCTATTTACGTGGTAAATATTGACTGGTATGTCAGGCCCTTTGCTGGCTGTGGCAACACATGACCCGTGGTCATATGGATCTTAGAGTTTGGTGTGTTACAGTAAACATACAGTCATACAAATTACATAGGATCGTACACGGGGTTCCTGTATAACTACGGATACAATTATGTATTATTACGTACCCCTTGGACTCTCACATCACTTCAGTTCACCCTTTTCCATGCCAGCCTTGTCTGGCCTGCTGCTTACTCAACCCCTCTGATGCCTGTGTAAAGGCCCTACTCCAACACGGCCCTTTCCCCAACGTGGCCCACAGCCTTTCTTATTTCAGTCAATGGTAATTTCATCCTTCCATTGCCTGGGCCCTTAAAGTCCTAGTCATCCCGAACTTTTTCCTGTCTTACTCACATCCATTTAATCGGTAGAGCTATTGGCTTTGCCTTAAGTGTG